TTACCTCTGAGAGGACGTCACTGCTGATACTGACCTGAAAGTTGGTGGGTACAGAGACCCTGGAAAAGGTGATGCAGGGTAGATGGCAGAACCCTGCCATGGGAAGAAAGTCAGGGAGAGCGCTGTTGGAAAGGGAGGTGGAAGACACTGAATAAAGGTGGGTGTTTTCCTATGTTCCCTAAGGCTGACTTCTGGTAGATTAAATTACCTCCTCAAACTGATAAGGGAAAAGTGAACCAAGAGTTACTCTCTCTAGGTCTTTCTATAGCTCTCTGAGGTTACATGAATTGATATCCGAAGATCTCAAAAGATTCTAATACCCCCAGAACCTTCTCTAGTTTGTCAGTTATCTTGTTTGTGTGCTGGGTTCACTTCTTTGATTGGGCACCGTCCTGGGTACTGGTAAAAGAGCAGTGAATATAATACACATAGCTCTCACCCCTCGAAACCCACAGCCTTGGGAGGAAGGAATACTAAGCAGACACCTCCCAAACAAGTTATTGATGACAACCTTGGTAAGCATGGTGAAGGAAAGCTACTGAGTGCTAAGAAAGAATTCACAGGGGTCTAAACAGCCTGGAGGGTGGTGTGGGATTAGGGAATCTGTAGGGTGAACACTAAAGCTTTTATGCATAATTATGTGCTCAGATATATGGAGTCAGGGACAGATATTTTTCTTTGCATTATATATGTAAATATAATAAATTGAAACCTTTAAAATACCACATTAAAATCTATTCTCATTCTTTATGTGAATTAACTTTTGTAGACATATTTCAACAGAAGCTAAGACTAATGATGGAACTCTGTTACAAGCTGGGAAGGAGCCTGTGGTCATTAGGGTGGAGGGAGAGGGAGTGTGGCAGCCCCCACATTAAGGGGTCTTTTTTAGATGCAGGACTCCCCTGGATTCTGTGGGTGCCGGGATACACACTGACAAGTGCTGTGCCCTGCAGCAGGGGCTGGAAGCTCAGCACTCTTTTGAGTTCATTAGAACTCCTGAAGAACCCCGGTTGGTCTAGATTTCGTTTAAAGAGCACGTTTTCTTTGACTTGGAGCTCTCCGTGGCCAGCTCACTTAGGGCTGAGATGAAGGAGAGGGCTACTGGAAGCTACTGCGTGCTTTTGTTTGTGTCTGGGTGGCATTTAGATGAAGTCTGGAGGAGCTAAGAGCAGGACGTAGGCAAGGTTCCACAGCCTTCCAAGGTACAGGGAGGTGGGCGATGAGGACTAAGGTGACTGACTAGGTTTAACGTTTCTTGTTCCAATGCAGGAGTGGAAGGGTGGAGGGCAGATGCTGGTGAGGGGACCCTGAGGTGGCCTGCCGTGACCTTGGAGTTTCAGTGAGAAGCACTGTCTTCGTGTGAGAAGCAAAAGGAGGCCTGGGAGAGATTGGGTATTTGCCACATGGCCTTTCTAATTCTGGTTTTACTTCTGGCGTTTCCTTGAACTTTACTGGGGGTGTGGGAACAGATGTTCAGAAAGGCAAGTCACTTGGCCCAGCAGAGACGACGCTCCATTGTCACAGCTGTGGGTGTTTCCACCTGGAATGTCCACGTGAAGTAAGCAGTTCTCCACCTGTGCAGGCTGTGGTCTCGGGACAGACATTCCTCCGCGACCCTGAACACGTTTTCATCAGTTACCTGGCAGTGGTTTGAGCCCATCGGGTGGTAGGAATCAGGAAGCACAGGTTCAGCTGGGAAAATGAGTGTTTGTCCCGTGACTGACAATGGTGACTTTGAGGTGAGCCATTCGCTTGGAAAACCGGTGCTTACCTGCTGCCAGGGCGTGCCAGGCACATACGATTTGGAAGCCTTTGTGCCTAAACAGTAGCACACAGCAGTGAGGAGCAGTCTGCAGAAACCGACAGCAGGGCTCAGCTCGTGCCTGCTGTGCGCTGTGTCCTGGTCTCATTTGATTATAGTAGTATTATTCTTCTTTTGCATATGAGGAGACTGAGGCCTGGCACTGGTAGGTGGTGGGGTAAAGATGCCACCCCAGGACTGCCTGACGTCCAAGTCTTTGCTCCTTTCCTCCAACTTATGTTATGCTGTTGTCAGTATGAAGATGCTTGGGATGTAAAACACGAGTAGGTTCTGAAACCTTCCATGCGACACGAGCTCCATTTGTTGTCCCTTTGTCGGTAGGCAACCTTTGCCTCCTTGTGTGAGTCCACTGGCAGTCTTGGTGGTCTTGGCGGTCTGGGAGTGCTGTCTGCATCTTCTGGCTGGGAGTAGGGTGGAAGGACCTATGCAGGGGAGACTGGATCCCCTCCCATCCTCCCTGCCCTCCACCTACATCTGCAGCTGAACCTTCTGCCCTGTGCAGCTTTCTCAGAGCCACGTCCTTCAACCCAGGGAGAAGCAAGCCTGAGCCTGTGGACTGATCCGGGCTTGGCAGGGGGGTTACCCCCTGCATACCCACCCACAGGGCTCATGCACTCTCACACACACCTCTGGCACATGCCTTGCTCTTCCCAACAAGGACACTTTTCATTTGCCAGGTGTCCGCATTACCCGAATGTTTTGCATAACATCATGGTTTCTCCAGAGTGTTCATCCTTTTCCAGTTAGGTGACACATCACAGTAATCTCCAGTCCCTTTCCCCAGAAGAAGACACCCCACCAGACCCAGGGCCTGATCTCTCAGGGCTCCTCCAGCCTCTGAGTTCTGGCCTGACCCTGGGCAGGGCTTCTTGGCAGGCAGAGCCATTTCAGTGGGAGATCCTGTCCTTTGGATTCTCCAGCTTCCCTTGAGCCCCACTTGGGACAACTCAGGTCTCTCCCCTTCACTGGTCAGCACCTGCAAGAGGCAGGAACCGCATAGGTCTCATCTGTCACCGCATCCCAGTGCTTCAGAAGCACCCGCCCGTTCTGGGTGGGCAGTCACCGTGAACATAGACACCATGTCTGCTCCGCTACCTTGGGCAAGGATAAACCACCTAATATTAGAAATGTTCTCTGCTAGGTGCAGTGGCTCACAACTGTAATCCCAAGCACTTTGGGAGGCTGAAGTAAGCAGATTGCTTGAGCTCAAGAGTTCCAGACCAGCCTGTTCAACATGGTGAAACCCCATCTCTACAAAAATTAGCCGAGTATGGTGGTGCAGGCTTGTGGTCCCAGCTATTTAGGGGGCTGAGGCAGGAGAATCTCTTGAGTGCAGGAAGTTGAGGCTGCAGTGAGCTAAATATGTTCTTATCTCCAAAATGGGAATACTAAAAGTTCCTGGGGATTCAATGAGATAATTCTGATGATACTTGCATGCTTGAGTAATTTGCAGTTGTCATAGCTAACTCCAAATTCAGGCAAGGGAAACTAGAGCTCAGTGGCAGCCTCAGGAGATGGCACCTAGGGGAACAAATGGCACATCTGAGGCCACTCTCACCATCTTCACTCTTCCCCTTATACCTTATGTTTTCCTTTTCCATTGAATACTCTGGTAGCTACCCCCTTTAAAGGACACTTGGGGATCAGAGGGTTGCTGACTGACTTACATATTGGAGGGTGGGGGGATTGAAGGGGTGACCTTTGGAGCACCTGGGCCTTTGGGTTGGGCCACCAGCCTAGAGCTATTATCATTTTGCTGTTTAATAGCACTGTCTGTTACTTTGACAGTGAACACAGATAATGAAAGCAAGGCTGTTCTTTGAAGCCTAAAACAGTGGTAATGGATTTGAAAACTACTATTTCTGTCCAACTCTCATTTTGTATATAATGATAGCATGATCATCAGTCAAATTTGGTGAGGTTCCAAGTGTTTTCAGCAGAGCTGACAAAAGACCAGACATTTTTTTTCAAGCCAAATTGTATGAACATTAGTGCCAGAGCTCGTGAAACTTTGTTCAGCTTTTAAGGGATTGGCTGGTAGGGAGGATGAACATTGGAAGAAATATAAATATTAGAGCCAACTCAGGCACAGACCCACAACTCCTTTTCTCTGTTCATATTTTCTTTGCATTTCTCCCATCATTTTCCATTCCATGCTGTGTACAAGTGCTAATGTGAATTGGTTAAATATTCGAGCCCTTGTTTTTAAGTGTGAGGATTCATCGCACCTAGCAGTAAGAAATTGCTTTCTAAATAAATGGTGTGACAGCATGTGGAGGTAGAGCACACTGTAACAGTCAGTTATGGAAGGCAGGGACACCATTAGTTCAGTATTCTGTAGCAGGAATATTGGCCAGTAATCGTGTATTTGATTTCTATAAAGCGTGAGGGATTTTTTAAATTCAGGAAGCAGCTGAATTTACATGGATGAAATGATCATCGTGTCTGGGATGATTTGCTTAGAAATCACTGCATAGGAGTGGGATGAAGTGTGGGTATAAGGATGAAGCAAGAGTAGCCATATGTTGAGTTCATTTTATGTTCTTTATATTTTTGTATCTGTTTTAAATTTTTCATTGCATTCAAAAAAGAAACTCAATGTAAATAAATGATGTTTTAGCATATATCAAAATATTAGGTAGCTATGAAAATAACACATGAAGAATTTTAATAATGTGGTTTAAGTAAGAAAATCAGGAAGCCAAGCTTTCTAATATAATATGTGTGTGCATGTGGACAAAATATTTGCATAAAAAATGATCGGAAGGAAATGGAAACATTAACTGTGGTTATCCTTGGTTGGTTGGATTGTGGGTGATTTCACTCTATTTTCCAAACTTCCTGTAGTAAACAAGACAAAAATTCATCTCTTATAATTTGAGAAAAACCTTTTTGAAAGAAACCTAATCTGCATTGTGTAAATTAGTGAAGCATTTGTTTCAGTGATCTGTTTTCCATTAAATCACCCCAGTCAGTGATTAAACGCTTGCGCTGTTACTGATCTTGTGGCTGTGGACATGGTTTTGGCCTGTACCGTGCTGCACTCTGCCCTGGACTGTCTTTGCTGGGGTGTATGCAGGCCAGATCATGGCAAATGCAGTCACCAACACCATTTCACTCATTAATAACTTCTACTCACCACATTCCTTCAGCGTGAATTTCCGTCTAATTTCAGGGAGCTCGACATGATTTCCACGAGGGTGATGGACATTAAGCTTCGGGAGGCTGCAGAGGGCCTTGGGGAGGACAGTACAGGTAAGGCCCTGCTTCCCCTGCTCTGGGGAGGGCACTTGCTTTGTTGTGGGGCAGGGAGAGGAGCTGACGGAGGCAGACCGTTGGGGCTCTCTGTATGAAAAGTGGGGGTTCAGTTCCCAGTGTGGTCAGATACCCTTAGGCCCTCCACTCTGTGACTGAGAGCACATACCCATTATTTAAAGCTGCTCAAAACAGAGTTCCTCTGCTTCTCTGTCAAGCACAGGGACTTTTCAGCTCATTTTCCTCCGTCCTGGAGGTAACCATGTCCCCATGTTTGGTTGACTTGAATGCAAAGGAAGAGGCACTAAATGGATTCATTTACCATCTGAGAATATCCAAAGATATCTGTAGGAGGCTGAGCAAAGTACCTGACAGCCTGATCATCTGTAAGAAAAATAATTACATCAAGAGAGAGCCTTCGATCCCTCTCCTTTATGACTTTTATTCTGAAGGAAACCTTTAGTATGTTTTCTGCTGAGCTAAATTCTAGGCCATAAATCATCATCTCAGAAGACATTCTAAGAATTCTCCAATTATGTGATTGGTTTACTGTTATCCACATATTGCTATTTATGTCCTGATAGAGTTGTAAAACTGACATTAAAAATTAATCTCTCCACAGTGTGCTTTTTACCTAGGTTAGCCATTCATATCCTCCCCTTATTTTGATGACCACAGTCTCCATCTCTCTCTTATTTACATTCAAAATGCTAGTAGTGATTTTCTTGGATATAGTTCAGGAGAAACAGTTCCCAATAATATTAAATCCTAGCTGCTAGCCACTAGGTTCGGATACTAATTTCAGTAAAGACTCCATTTCAAATATTATGGATAGATTTTTTTCTTATTATTTCATATTAGAATCATTTTTTCCTCTGTCACATTTCAATGGATACCAAATGAATCCACATTTAAAATGAGGGTTTTTAGATGAGCCCTGAAAAAAAATGGAGCCTCAAATTTTCTCATATTATGGGACACTGTTCATTACTTATTTTAAACAAGAATTGTTTGCATAAATATTTCATCAGCCTGAAATAACCTCCCTAAATGCTAGTTCTGAATACATACAGAGGTTACTGAGGAAAAGAGACTAAGTTTTCTTTTTTTCAAATAGTGAGCTTAAGTTATTTAGACCAACCCTCTTCCACTGAAAATTTAAAATTCTAGATAAGAATATTCTTTAAAATGTTTTTCAAAGTAAGAAATAATAAATACCAGAATTGAAATGAAAATGGGCCAGGCGCAGTGGCTCTCACCTGTAATCCCAGCACTCTGGGAGGCCAAGGTAGGAAGATTGCTTGAGCCCAGGAGTTCAAGAACAGTTTGTGTATAGTGAGACCCTGTCTCTACAAAAAATTTTAAAAATTAGCTGGATATGGTGGCACAAACCTGTAGTCCCAGGAGGTTAATGCTACAGTGGTCCATGATTCCACCACTATACTCAAGCCTGGGCAACAAGCAAGACCCTGCCTCAGGAAAAACGAGAAAAAAGGAAAGGAAAATGGTAACCTGGGGAGACAACAGAGTCTAAAAGCCACTTTTGACCTTAGATCATTTACCGGTCTTGGAAATTATCAATCTTGGAAATTTTCATGTCTTCAAGGGGTGGAAGGTGAGAGTAAGGGTCAATTATCGAAGTACAAGGCCTGTATAAGGTAGACTGTCTCATGGAAGACACTCTCTACAATAAAGGGGGGCCAAGGAGTTGCAAAATCTGAGTAGGTGTGAACTAGGGGTAGACTAACCCTTGCGTGGATTTGTAGCTTGAGTTTGCATCATTTGGGTAATTCGGAGAACCTCAACCCTGGAACTTGATTAATATTGCTTCTGCACTAGGTGTAAACCCAGGTACTTTGTAGAGCAAATAATATTCACTAAAGGAAGTCACCTTCCATTTAGACTTCACATTATTACAGAAAATAATATTTTCAGTATCATGACAAGCATCTAATCAGTGATCATCCGGCATCTAAGGCAACAGGATATTATGAATGAGAACCAACATGCCATTGGTTGAATTGTGCTCCCACCAAATTCATACGTGAAGTCTCCAGTATCTCCAAATGTGGCCTTATTTGAAGGCTGGGTTCTTGCAGGTGTGATTCATTAAGATGAGATCATACTGGAGTAGGGTGGGCTCCTATTCCCATAAGACGGTGTCCTTATGAAAAGGGGAACTGTGTACGTAGATATGCACACAAGGAGAACGCCATGTACACATGCAGGCAGACATGAGAAACAGATACATGAAGACATAAATATCAGAATAACCAAATACTTCCTATAAAACAACCATGCATGTTATGTTTGAAGATTGTAAAAATGTTTTAAAATATCTGAAAGCTCCAGGGAACTATAAAAAAGTGCCGTATCACCCGGCCAGTGCAATAAAGCAAGAAAAAGGAATAAAAGGCAGAAAGATGGAAGAAAGAAATAAAACTGTCTCTATTTACAGATGACATGCTTATACAACATACACAAAAAAGAATTTTTTCAGAACTCTTTTCTCAGAACTCTTACACAAATATAGCAAGATTGCAAGATACAGGTCAATATATTCAGAATCAATTCGGATTTCTGTATGCTAACAATGAACGATTGAAAAATGGAAATGTTAAAAGTACCAAAAAATGGAAATATTTAGGCATCTATTTAGTAAAATACATGCAGGATCCACATTCTGGAAAATACAAATAATTGTTTAAAGAAATTAGCAAAGACCTAACTACATGAGGAGAGACAGAATGTTTATAGATTGGAAGACTCAGTATTGCTGTCAGTTCTCCCCAAACTGAGCCACAAAATTGTGTGTTAGTACATGTAGTTACGGTGCACTCTTTAAAAGTCAGTTATGGAAGGCAGACCTACAATTAGCTCAATATTCTGTAGCAGGAATACTGACAAGTAATAATTTGCTTGATTTTCATGAAGAGTCAGAGATTTTTTCCTTTAGGAAAAAGCCAAGTTTCTATAGATTAATAATAATAGTGTCTGGGATGATTTTTTGAAATAACCCTCAGAAATGGGGAGAAGGAGGAGTAAAGACGAAGCAGTCAAAATCCCAGCAGGACTTTTTGCAGATATTGGCAAGCTGCTTTGAAAATCTGTGTGAAAAAGCAAAGAACTAGAATAGATAAAACAATTTTGAAAAAGAGTAAAATTGAAAGCTTCATACTACCTGTTTCTAAGACTTACTATAAAGCTGCAGTAATCAAGACAGTATGGTATTGGCAAAAGGATAGATGCACAGAGACAGAAGGGAATAGAGTTCAAACAGACCCATACAAATATGGTTAACTGATTTTGACAAAATCGTAAAGGCGATTCATTGGAGAAAGGTTAGTATTTCAACAAATGGTGCTGGAACAATTGGACATTCACATGTAAATATACCTCACAGATTATACAAAAAACTCAAAATGTGTCATAAACTTAAATGTAAAACTCTAACATGTTTAAATGAAAGCGTAGGAGAAGATATTTATGACCCAGAATTAGGCAAGAGTTCTTAGATATGATAACTGAATCCATGAAAGGAAAAAATTTATAAATTGGACTTCATCAAAACTTTAAAATATGCTGTGTGAAATACACTTTTAAGAAAATGAAAAGACAAGTCACAGACTAGGAGAAAATATTTATAAATCATGCTTGATAAAGGACTTACATCCACACTTGATAAAGGACTTACATCATGTATTTAGAACAAATAGGAAAACAAATAACCCAGTTACAAAATGGGCATCAAATTTTAAATGACGCTGTACCTAAGAAGATGTACAGATGGAAAATAAGCACATGAAGAAATGCTCAATCTCTATAATCATTAGGTAATGCAAAGTAAAACTACAATGAAATACCATGACCCACCTATTAAATGTCTGGAGAAAACCATCATAACAACAGGAGCTGGTAAGCATGCATTGAAGGGAGGAATCCAAAATGGTACGGCCACTTTGGAAAAACATTTTGGCAGCTTCTTGTGAAGTTAAATATACACTTAGCCTATGACTCAGCAATCCAAATCCTAGGTATTTACTTGGCAGTAAAAACTTATGTTTACACACACACACACACACACACACACACACACACACACACAAACTATAACAACTTTATTTATAATTGCTAAAAACTGAAAAGAACCCAGATGTCTTTCAGCAGGTTGAAATAGTTCAGCACATTGGTATATCCACACAATCGCAGCAACAGAAAGGAACAAACTATTAATTGGTATAACGTGAGTGAGTCTCTAATGTGTTGTGCTGAATGAAAGAAGCCAGAAAGAAAAGGGGACGTACTGTGTGACTAACCTATATGACATTCTAGAAAAGGCAGAACTATAGAAACAGAGAAGTTATAAGTGGTTGCCCGGGGTTAAAGGTATTGGAGAAGGTTGGACTACAAAAGGACAGCATAAGGACAGTTCTGTATCTTGATTGCAGTGGTAATTATGCAACTCTATGTACACCAAAAAGAATGAATTTTACTGTGTGTAATTTTAACAATAAGTGTTTTTACAAGGTATAGCAGATTTGAAAAACAAAGGAATTTTTAGAAACAAGTGTAATAATTAAAATGCTTGGATATAACAGCAGATTATATCAGATCGAGATAGATCACAAGAAATTATACAAAATGTACCATAGAATGGCAAAAGGATGGAAAATACAGAAAAGAGAACAAGGGGCATAGAGGGTAAGTGAAAGGGTGTAAGCATCCATTTGAGCACAGTCTTAGGAGAGGAGAGAAGGGCTGAGAATTTTCTGGATTTTATCAAAAAGACGACCCAACCCATAGGTTTAAGAAACACAATGAATCCCAAGAAGGATAAATCAAAGAAAATTCATACAAAATAAAACTGCAGAAAACCAGAGGATGAATAATCTTATAATGAGTCTGAGAGAAAGAGACAGATTACCTGGAAAAGAGCAAAAAAGTAATTAATGCCTGACTTATCAACACAATGGAAGCCACAAAACAGGGAAACAATAGCCTAAATATCCTTGGGAAAAGTAACCTCCAAACTACTATGTTGGTGCAAAAGTAATTGCCATTTTTGCCATTAAATGTCATGGCAAGAGATGCAATTACTTTTGCAACAACCTAATCTAATAGAATGCTATACTTAGGACAAATATATTTCAAGAGTGATGGAGACATGAAGGCATTTCAGACAAACAAAAACTAGGTTGGTCCCAGTAAGCCCTCGGTAATAACAGATTCCACACACATGAACCCTCAGGCCAAAGGAAAATCTTCCTAGGGGACAATCTGGAATATGAGAAGGAATGAAGAACGAAGAAAACAAGTGGATACATCTATGTGAGCATGAAATAACTTTGGGTTGTTTTTTTTTTTTTAACAATCAGAATTAAAACAATAGGGTATAAAAATGGAATTAAAGTATTCTAAGGTCCTTGTATTGTCCTGTAATCAAAAGTGTAGTATAATTTCTAGGGTAACCACTGAAAGTACAGAAGCAAACGGTGAGGTTTATAAACTAGCAATGAAAGAAACTGAATGATTTTTTTAAAGAACAATTAAAAAACCCCTAAGATGATAGACTTGTTTTTATTAATATATCAGTAATTACAGAGCATGTAAGTGGACTAGTTAATTACATTAATTGTTCCAGTTAAGAGTTAAAGATGATCAGATTAAATTCCAAAACTCTAAATACATGAATCTTAACTATAAGGGTTCAGAAAAGTAAGGATAGTAATAGGATACAAAAACCTATACCTGTGAACACTGGGTAAAGGCAGATGGTGTAGCTATACAGGTTGAGTATCCCTTATCCAAAATTCTTGGAACAGGAGTGTTTTCTATTTTAGATTTTTTCAGATTTTTGAATACTTGCATTGTACTTACCAGTTGAAGGTCTCAAATTTGAAAATCCAAAGTTTGAAATTCTCCAGTGAGCATTTCCTTTAAGCATCATGTGGGTGCTCAAAAAGTTTCAGATTTTGGAGCATTTTAGATTTTCAGATTTGATACGATAAACCTGTACTAATAGCAGTCAAAATGAAATGTAAGACAGGAAACATAACTAAACATAAAGAGGACCATTCCAGAAAAGGTTCAGTTTTCCAGCAAGATAATAATTTTACATTTCTATTCATTAACATGATACAGACAGTTGTATTACTGCTCTTTTAGAATTTGTCTAGCGGGCTTTCTGGTTTTTCCTGGAAAGCAACCTCTACAGCAAATAAAGTTGTAAATTAGAAATTAACAACTAAAGATAAATAAGAAAATCTATAATCAGAGTGGGTTATTTTTAACACATCTCTCTCAGTAATTAATAAAACAAACATTTTAAAAATCAGTAAAGATATAAAATACTTGGACAACGCAATTTTTTTAAAAAAGGTCTTGTTCTAATTGACATATATTGGACATTGAAGAAAATGCATTATTTTCAAGCACACCAGGAACATTTAAAAAAAATTGTTCATATGGTAAGCCATAAAGTAAGTATCAACAGATTTGAGTGCGTTCAAATCTTTCAGAGTATGTTATTGGACCACAGTGCAATTAAGCTAGGGATCAATAACAGATAGAAAATCCTCAACTGCTTGGAAATGAAGACTTACTTTCCTAAATAACCCATAAGTCTAAGAAGTATCATAATAGAAATTAGAAAATATTTTTGACCAAACAATAATGAAAATACTACATTTTAAAATATGTATATGCAGTTAAAACAGACTTAGAGGGAAATGCATTGCCTTAAATATTATATTATTAAAACAGGAAAGTCTAAAACGTAATAAACCAAGTGTTCATCTCAAGAAGTTTAAGAAAATAGTGAAGTAAACCTGAAGAAAGTAGGAAGGAAGGAATAAAGATAAGAACAGAAATTAATACAACATAAAATAAAAATTCAATAGAAAGAATTAACAAAGCTAAACTTTTTTAAAGCAGTTAAAATTGATAAACCTCTGGTGCAATTGATCAAGGAAAAAAGAAGAGGCACATTTATGATAATATCAGGTTGAAAAAAGAGCCATCAGTCACTATAGATGTTGTGAATGCTTGAAAGATAAAAAAGATATTATTAATAATTTTTGCCAATATATTTGAAAATTTGGAAAAAATACATTTTCAGAAAAATGTTAATTAAAAAATCAGATTCAAGAAGCAGAAAACTGGACTAGTTCTGTAAACATTAAAGAAATTGAATTACACATCCTAGCAGGAGAAGAAATATAAACAAATGGATGGCTGACTAAGCCCTGCCCGTGAAACAAAAGTGTACAGCAGTTATACCTGAGGTCTACCAGTTATACTTGAGGACGCCATTAATGCTGTAAGCAGCATCTTTGCTGGTCATGATATTGAGGTTGTGTATCTATTCAGGCCTTCGAGGATGCATACCAATTTGTTGACTAGGCAAAAGCCACAGGGTGTCCTGACCAAATGCAGAAAACTCTTGAGAGTCTTTCAAAATAATAAATGCTCATTGAGAACCACCTGCTAACAGCATAAACATTTTTTTACAATTATAAAGTTAAGAACACTTCCAATAGAAGTTGAGAAAACTGCTGTAGAACTGATTTCTCCTTAGAGAGGGATTTGTTCTACCTGTAATAATGTAGGAACTCCTACTGAAGTAATCCTAAGTAATTCCCCCATGAGAGTAAGATCATGTAAGCTTTCCAAGGAAACAGAAATATAAACACAATAGAAAGATCCTGGGTTTTTTAAGGAATTCAGTTTATTAAATTACTATAAAAACTAATAAATTGTTTTGCAAATTTTCAGAATGTATTAGACAGCATCCTGGTAATCTATGATGCGGCATCCTTTGACTGTCAGTTCTGTAACTAATCCAGGAAAGGAGTGAACTTTGCTGAGCAGCAAATGTGAAATCCTGGAAACCTGGGAGAGAATGAAGGTGTCGCCAGAGAAATGATCACAAAATGTTGAAAAGTGTGGTGAATTCTAATAATCCAGGAAGCATGGCAGAGTTGGGCTCAGCCTGGCCACATCCCTCCCCTGTGGGGATGACCAGTCTTGTTATTTTTCTCAGCAAGAGTCATTAGCTCATCATGCATTTGGTGCCCCAGAGAGCCACCTTCTTGCCCATGAGGTTGGGCCTCCTCTGATTGTCCTTGATGCTATATTCACACTAGACAAAGCATTTCAGCATTCTTATTTATTTATTTATTTTTGAGACAGAGTCTTGCTCTGTTGCCAAGGCTGGAGTGCAATGGTGCAATCATAGCTCACTACAGCCTCAAACTCCTGGGCTCAAGCAAACTAGCCTCCCTAGTAGCTGGGACTACAGGCATGTGGCACCATGCCCGGCTTTTTTTTTTTTTTTTTTTTTTGTAGTAAGAAGTTCTCACTATGTTGCCCAGGCTGGTCTCGAACTCCTGAGCTCAAGCAAACCTCCCGCGCTTCAGCCTCTCAAAGAGCTGAGATTATAGGTTGTGAGCCACCATGCCTGGCCAAGAATTATTTCCTAAATTGCTTGGGTTATCCCATAACCTTTACCTCCTCAGGACTTTTGTGGTTGACTTACATATATTTCAGAAATTAAAACTTGGTTATACATGAGAGGAAGGTTGTTAATTTTGATTCTGTGATCATCTTCCAGAACATTCTTGGCTCTTTTATTTAAATATCCTTAATAAAGAGAAAACAAGATGCATTTTCAGGTGTGTAAAACTGGTATACCATGTACTTCTGGGGAGTAAAAGGACTTTTCAGAAGCAGATAACATACATGGAAGGAAATCTTGCTTTTTACCCTTTACGTGCCATTGCATGCATGCCCCTAAACACACATTGTACACACTCTTACTTATTACTTGTTTTTCTTCTCTGATCTGTATAGGAAAGAAAAAATCTAAATTTAAAACTTTTAAGAAGTTTTTTGGGAAGAAGAAGAGAAAAGAATCGCCGTCGTCCACAGGAAGTAGCACCTGGAAACAGAGTCAGACAAGGAATGAGGTCATTGCCATCGAGTCCGGACCAGTGGGCTACGACTCGGAGGATGAGCTGGAGTGAGTTGCGTTTTACATCCCTCAGGCCAGGAGCACCCAAAGATGCTATTGCATTATCCTGGTAACTTGCTGGATTTCTGAGCCCCCTTTCCTCCTGGGTAATTCCATTAGAGATTCTTCCACACAAGTTGTTGTTTTCTATCTTTTCAAACCTAGGGATGCAGAACGCTGCGTGTGTTCAAGTCCACAATAACTGTAGGAGAAGAGGTACTATATGCCGTTTTATAAACGGGCAAAATAAGCCCTAGATAAAATTTGGGACTTGCCCAGCATCCTACAGCGGATAGTGACAGGATCAGGATAGGGGCCCTGCTTTAACTGGACTTAAAACTCTTGTAAGGACCTAGATACTAAACTAGAAGAGTACATTTCTCTAGACTTGAACATTGGGGCATGCTTCTTGCTATTCAATCTTAGAAAAAATATCATCCAAAAATATCATTAAGAAGAACAGACCTAATAAACACAAAAAACTGGGGAGGTCTAGTAAAGAAATCCTTATTTTTGTAACTTGTATTTCATTAAAATATAGTTACAGTATATATGCTGCATTTATTCTGGCAGTTATTTCTGTGACTAAGAGGAAAATGAAACAGATTTGTTGCTATGCCGGCTTTTACCTTTTTTTTTTTTAATACAACACTGGCCCTTTAATTTGAGGATAGACTCTTCAGAAAACATAATATCCCTCAGGTTTGGGATACAGACCACGCCGAGATGCGTCCCAGGCTTGAGCATCCCGATAATGGTGTCCTGGTCCCGCCCCTGCTCTCCCCTCCTCCCCAGCGTCTTCGCCTGTTTTTTAAAGGAGTAGTAGAAATTTTACTGGCCACTTGGTGGCACCAGATGACTGGAAAGGAAAAATTGGACCTTTTTTTTTTTTTTTTTTTTTTTTTTTTTTTTTCCTGTTTGGGGTTTGTTTTTTTCGGTTTTGCTTGCCTTTGGTGCTAGCAAAGAATGTAATAGACTCACATTGCACCGTGTGAAGTGTGGAAGGGATATACTATGTGTGCATTTTTTTAGGCGGTGCTCTGAACTCTTGGGAATGAGATGTTATCATGATAATATTACTAATTATTCAGTGTCATCACTTTGCAAGCCCCAGGGAAACTGTAACACCCACCCCCATCCACCTCTGTCTCTTGACTGGATGGAGCACACAGTTCTGGTATTGGAGAGACAGGCCTGGCAGCGGCCCCTCCAGCCACAGACAGGAGCCCAGCCGGAGGGACAGGCTGGGGTGAATTGGCTCGTGGTGTGAAATAGCTGTCCACTTCCTGGTGTCCATCGTGTCACAGCAGCCCATGGAAAGTGGAGACAGTGCGCTTTTTATCTTGATATTCCCAGCACCTTGCAGGGAGCTGATCCTCAGTGACTGGTAACAGTTTGCTGGTTATGACGCTAGGCAAGGAAGATTGGGGGTGGGGCATGATGAGGCCTGGGAAGTGCAAATGACATTTTTAGAGAGCAGCACAGAAGAAGAGGCAAGTACTGTTTGGCCTGTGGGAGAGTCTGCGGCAACTTCTCATCCATCACTGTGGGCAAAACAGCTCCATTTACTAAGGCACATTAGTGCTAGCAAACCACATGGGACCCTGTGGATTGAAGAAAGTGACGCCCATTTATAAATCATGTCTGTGTCTGTGCGGTTGTGCTTCCTAAGTCTCTTAATCTATAACAATTTCCCTTTGCCCTCCTCCCTTTGTTTCATGCCATTGATCTGAAGGAAGAGCAGGGCCATGTGCCCTGTAGAATGTCCCGGTATTCTGCCTTTGCTTTTTCTTGATGTGATTCAACTCTTTCCTATATTCTCCCAATTCCCAGTACATCATTGGGTGGATCTAGATTCTGTTAGGTTCAAGCAGGTGCTGGGTGTTGTCATATCCTGCCGTGAGTCACATGCTTTCTGAGCAGTGGGTTCAGGGTGTCATTGTGGCCCCTCTACCAGCCTTCACCTGACAGTTTTAACACCCGCCGATGATCTATTATTTTGTCACAAAGTGGTGATTCTTCTAATTCTATCATTCATTATACACTTGCTAACTGAAATTCTTCAATGAGAACTTTCCTTCATCAATTGCTTGGTTTCTCTGAAACGCAATTTGTAAAGTCAGGCTCTGCTTTTATTGATCCACCCTCAGAGTAATGACATGGTCCTCTAGCAACTCCCAGTAGTGGCCAGTGGGTTTGTTTTTTTCTTTCTTTCTTTTTTTTTTTTTTTTTTTTCCCAAATATCGTTAGGAATGCATTACTTTTTATATGTTTGATTTGCTTTAATCCATGACAGTCTTTATTCATTTTAATGCTCAAGTTGTTCCATCTTAGGCTGTTGAGAGTCACTTCAAATTTGCTCCTGGGGTCTTTTGACACGACCCCATTTATCTTTGACGGCTTCCTTACTTTATTGCCCAATGAGAAATCTCAGGTTTATTTGGTATATTTTCTCTCCCTGGCCTGGAATCAACACTTTTTTTTCACAGGGCCCTGGCCCCCTCCTTGTGGTGTGAAATGGCTTTTAAAGACCTCAGTTAAGCTGCCAGGGGGCAATGATTGCTAATTGGCTATCACTGCTTCTAGACCTTTCCAGTGGATATATCTAGGAAATACTTTATTTTTCTAGAGAAAAATTAATCATTAATTTGCTGATATTTCCAATTCAAGTTTAATAAGACAACATTTTTACTTCTTTAATTCTTTGTATTCTCTTTTCTCTTACACTGGAAATCAGGGCTCCTTATGATATTGAAAAAATGACTCATTTTCTTTAACCTATCAAAGATTATAATAATTTCCTTATCCCCTTTCCTACATGGAAGTTAAAAATACTATAAATGCTTTTATGCACGGTGTCTTATAATAGTCTTATTGCGAATTAATCTACAGAGTGCAATGTAATTCTTTTTTTTTTTTTTTTTTTTTTTTTTGGTTTGTTTGAGATGGAGTTTCACTCTTGTTACCCAGGCTGGAGTGCAATGGCGCGATCTTGGCTCACTGCAACCTCTGCCTCCTGGGTTCAGGCAATTCTCCTGCCTCAGTCTCCTGAGTAGCTGGGATTACAGGCACACGCCACCAAGCCCAGCTAATGTTTTGTATTTTTAGTAGAGACGGGGTTTCACCATGTTGACCAGGATGGTGTCGATCTCTTAACCTCACGATCCACCCGCCTTGGCCTCCCAAAGTGCTGGGATTACAGGCTTGAGCCACCGCGCCCGGCCCTATTTTTGATTTTTAATCACTATTACTACTAATAAGATCGGTAAGTGCAGTTTGATGTCTTTGGTTTTCTTGCCGTTGTTCCTAGAATGTATTCTATCTTGGATGTGGAGTCGAAGTCACTCGAAATTATTATATTCTCTGTCTTGTCATGCTAATAATATGATATAAAACCAGATTTGTTTGTGTTTGTTTTCTAGTTTTAGAGATTGTTTCATTTCTCTTTTTGGTCTTTTAATTATATAAAGCATTTCCATCGTTTCAAAGACAAAGTTGTAAATGCAGGTATCTGTGCACCATGTCTCCTCACCTGTCCTTCCTTTCCCCTAAGGAAACCATTTTTACCTATTTGTTATGTATTTTTCCATTTTCATTTTTTTAAATATAAGAAACACACACGCATGTTCAGGTAATATCCATGCCCCCTTTTCCACGCAGTGCTGACATACTGTGCACATTGTGTCGTTCTGCAGTGGTTGTGATTTATTTCACTTAGTAGAATCTGATGATGCCTGTATGCAGCGTGTAGAGAACCTTCCTGCCCATCTGACCAGCTGTGGAGTCCTCCATCGTATGACATTCCATGGTTGATTCAGTTAGATGCCTACTGAGGGGCATTAGGTATTTCCTGTCTTTTGCTCTTCTGAATATTGCTGTAGTGAGTGGCCTTGCACACCTGCCATTTTGTGTTCTTGCCCACGAATCTTTGCAGAGACCTCTTTATGCTGCCTCCGCTCCTTGTTACATCCAAAATGGAGGTGCTTGGGTGGTGATTGTGGTCCCCAAAGGATGTGGGCCATGGGCTGTCTACTGGGGAAGGAAAATTCAGGTGTGTGTGTGACCTTTGGGTTAAAAGCTGCCCTTGGCAACTGATTCCATCAGTTGGCGTGGTTCCTTCCCTGGCATAAGAGGACACACACATCCTGGGAACTGTGGGTTCCCACTTACAAGATTACTGTTGCAGGCATGAAAGTTTAATTAGAAGGAAGCATTATTAACCAACACACGTTGGTCTACAGTGGGGCAGCGTTCTTAATGCCCCACAGTGGACAGGATGCCCAGGGTAGGGGAGTGGCAGGAGGGTGGGGGTGGGATGGGGCACACAAGATGTCCAGCATGTGCAAAGGCGGGCTTTCCTTCCTTCATCATCGAGTCTCAGTCATCTCCTTCCACCTATTGTTCAGGCAGCTGCCGCTGCTAGGAAAATCTGACAGCTAATTCCCACATCCTTTTAGGACATTTTGTGAGTGTCCTGTGGGTTTCAGTCCCAGATCAGATTCTTGAGCTCAGAGCTGAGGAAGGGGCTGGAACGGCGATGACAAAGGCCACCATCTCTGCTCCAGGATCTAGGTAGGCACAGAGGTTTTGCTCACACGGATAGTGCCAGGTCATAAAAAGAGGCCATGGCTTTGCAGATTTGCAGTTCTCATTTCAAACAAGCCACTAATGTATGTCTTGGCTGTCTTGTGAGGATGTGTTCATCAGGCAGGACCTCAGCCTGCTGCACACACACAGCCTTCAATCCATGGAGGGGCTGCATGTTTGCCTGCAAGATGTGACCTCACCCTCCCTGGGGCAGCCGGGACAGGCCTCCTCAGAAGCTGGCCTGTGCCAGCCCCTCCCCTCTGCAGGCATGCTGTCTTACACCTCACACCTTGTCAAACCTTGGTTTTTCCACCAATAAAAAGAATTCACACACCCTTTAGCTCTCCTAGTAAAAGTCCTATCTCTACAATGCTCCAAATAGTTGACTGGCATTTGATAGTGTGTGGATAAACTGAAGTCAGGGACCACTGAAATGTAAACGCAGCAGAGGGAGTGTCGTATGATGTTCTGTTAACCCAGATACCCCTTTCTCATTCTGAGCCCCCCCGGGGGTCAGTAAGATGGAGGTGGGCAGAGTCTCACAGTGGCTGTTTTATCCTAGGGAGTCGAGGGGCACGATGGGCAGCCGGGCCCTCTCTCACGACAGTATTTTCATTCCTGAGTCCGGACAGGACCCCACTCGGCCTGTGCGGGTGTTTTCCCAAGAAAATGTGTGTGATCGGATTAAAGCTCTGCAGGTAAATGTTTCCTTGGTCGTGTCACCTGGTATGCAAGTCAAACATCCATCGAAAAGCTTTTAAATGGTTTCTGCTTGGTTTATTTGATATGCCGTAAAGTAGAGCCACATACATGACAGCTCTCCCAGGACACACCGACTGAGTTGCAATGGCCTCTCGACTCATTCTTAGATAAACAAAGAAGAGATGGCAGTGGAAGAGCTGGCGGCAGATGCACGTTCAGTTCAGTTCTCTGCATCACGCCAAAACACTGAAGACATTTCCAGCATGAATGAGTTAGAGCAGGAGGATTTGTTGATAAATATCATTGATGAAAATAAGAGCACATGTTCTTTCTTCCAATCTAGTTAAAAATACAGTGTAATGTGAAAATGGGACCACCACCTCCTCCAGGGGGACTTCCTGCCAAGCGGGGAGAGGATGCTGGCATGAGCTCTGAGGATGACGGGCTGCCCAGGAGCCCCCCAGAGATGTCTCTGCTGCACGACGGGGGTCCTGGCACAACAATAAAGGCAAGTACGGCCTGTGCTGCTGCACGTCTCCATCCGCACCTGCCGTGGAGGTCACTGGAGCTCTGGGATCCCCTGTGTGTGCCCCTGAGAGCTCCTTGGATAGGTGAGGCTGTGCGTGGTGTGGCCGACTGGGTCACTAGAGCCTACAGTCAGCCCTTGAGATGTGTTTATTTTCATTCTTTGAGTAGAAATTCAGGTCAGGTTAGGAGACTGGTTTCGGTGACTTTTTTTATGAGGATGATAGGTTGATAGAATTAACCTGGAATCAACCCTCTCCCTAGTCTTTCCTGTGTGAGCAGATGACTAGACCCAGAACCCCATTTAGAAGAAAGGACACACATTGTGTCTGTTGTCTGTTGCCCTGACATTTGGCCCGTGGGAGGGGGAAATAGTGAGCATGTGACCATTGAGGCTCTGATGGTCTCCGGTGCCTGAGCCTGTGACCCTGAGGCGGTGTTGGCGTGCAAGTAGTAATGTGCTGTGTTGCTGCAAACAGGGCAGCAGGGAAAGGCTGACAAGCAAGAGAGGAACTGATGAACTCAGCAAGGTGGAAGAACCGGTCCCAAACACCACCTTCCCCACTAGAAACCAAGGGGCGGGGGATGGGGGCAGGCAAGGAACTAAGCTCTTTCTCATGCATAAACAACATAGCTAGTGATGTTGCCACATTTTAAATTCCTTATGTTATTGTAGTAAGAACACTTAATGCCCATACAACGTACTTGCACATAAATGTTACAAATAGGTGGTCATCGTTCCCATGTAGACAAGCCTGGCTGTGGGGGATGGATAGAGTTCGAGTCATCTGTTATGCTGACACTTGGAAAACAAATAAAGGCCAGAGTTTATTTTTTTATAGCCACACACCTGCCCCTGCAGCCCTGTCACCTCTGGCCTGCTCAAGGGGCCATTGGCAGTGAAGGGGGCAGGTTCGTCTTAACCCACTGCCTTGCAGATTCTGTGCTGCTCTGAATTCTGTTCAGAAGCCACTTCGACGTGCACACCTATAAACCCTGCCACACAAAATTTTTGTGTGTGGTTGTGAGTTCCCAAAACATCACTGATAAAAAAAGGCAGAAGGACTGTGGTGGGGCTGAGTGTGTGGGGTGGAGACAGACGTGAACCCAGCTAGAGAATTATTCTCTCCAGAATTCTGCTTTGGGGAGAGGCTGTCCCTGCTCATTCCAGGAGCAGGGTCTGCGGATAGTGGGCTACCCAGGCCTGCTCTCCAGCTTTGAGCAGAAGGGAGAGAGGATGAGGAGGATGGAATGGCCTATTTCATAGACTCCACCAAGCCAACCCAGTACCCCTTAACACCTCAAATACTCTTATATGCAATTTCAGCGTCCTCCTTTCAGGAGCAGATGTGACTTTGTGTATTTCTGGGCTATGCAGTAGGAAGAGGTCTGTTGTGAGCTGCCTGACTCCTCCTTGTAGATGGACTCCCCCTTCCCATCCCGCAGATCTCTGACTCTCACAGCATCCCAGTTCTCTACCTTTAGCCAGGATGGGCAGTAAGAGGAGAGGTCGTTTCTAACCCATCCATTGAAGAGCAAGCCTGTCTCCAAACCCGTTTGACACCATGAGGCACAAATTCCACAGCTGGCTCGGCTAGACCAGGCTGATCTTGTCTCTCACAGCACAACCACCTCCTGTGGTTGGTCCTTTATTTAAAAAAAAATTTTTTTTTGAGATTTTATCAATATTTGGGTAATATGGACAATCTGCTAGCTTCATAGGAAACCAAAATTTGGACCTTTAAGACTTAAAAGCAAAAGTGTAATCTTTACTGTCTTCATTGTTTTGAAGACACAATGATTGCATTTTGAGGCCTGAAAGTTTTTATGCATAATTGGTCAATTGAGAGGGAAAAACAACACACCCTTTAAAATGGGCTTGTAGAATATGTTGTATTTGACAAAATAGTGCCTCTGGCCCCAAAATTATGGATGGAGGCTGTTTAACGTTCTCCCATGTTTACACCTTACACAGGCCCACCTAGACAGAGAAATGCATTGTGGAAAAAAGAGTCTTTAGAGCAAGTATTTAATGTTATAACCAGAGCAACGTTTCCTGATAGAGTAAGTTTTTCAGGAAATATATGGAATAATTTTTCAAATTTTATTACCAAGTGTCATAACTGATGAAAGTTTACTTGGTGGTTTTTAAGATAAAATGATGTCTAATGGGTCATATTCTCCGTGTCCTGCTATGAAGCAGGACATGCCAGGTAGACGGTGACAAACTGGCAGGGCTACTGAGTCATTTTGCTCCTGGTGATGCGGGAAGGGCAGATGGGGAGGGAACACAGATCTGGTGGCAAATGAACAAATACATGCCCACAGCTCCAGAGGTTGGCCTACGGCAGCCTCATCACCTCTCGGAATCCATGTCTTCAGAGGGTTTTGGCTCAGAGAGTTTTCGGGGGATTAGATGAGATTGGGTAGATCAGCACCTCTCTTTCCAGTAGAACCAGTGGTTTCTCTTTATCCCTGGAACACCCAGGTGCCCCTGCTGGCTCTTCCTGCATGAACTGCCCCCAGCTCACTCCTCAGTGACTGAGCCCCTCTTTTTGAGGACACACATCCTGAAGCACCTGTCACTCAGGGCCACCCATGAAAAGCTTCTGAACCCCAGGCCATTTCCTCCAGGCCCTTTGAGCTGCCTTCCCTGCAACAAAGAGCCACATGCTAGGCTTTTACATTTTCTGCTTTCAGAATCATCCAGAAGCACAGATTTCAGGAAAAATTGGGTGACTGGAAGCAAGCCATGCAGAGGTGAATGTTCTGGGTGCTACCAGCCCACCCATGAATCCAGATTCCCAGCCCTCATCTCTTCCCCATGATCCTAGCCCACCCCACGTATTTATATCGCTGACCAACGACAGACACAATTGTCCTTGATCATGAAGATGGGGGTCTTTCCAGACCGCAAGATCTCTCAGAGCAACAGTGGAAACAGAAGTGAGAGTTCTGAGACCAGAGAAGTTGAGTTCTCTAGTGGGGGAGAGCTTGTACCTGGGACACAGGTCATGGGAGTTAAGCTCCATGCCAAGGTCCCCTAGCCCAGGGGCCAGAGTGGGCCTGAGCCCAGGACATCTGCCCAGGCAGGACAGATGCAGGTTGGCCCACAGGGAGGAGGGCCTGCTGTTTATCCTTTGGAGCCTTCAGGGTATTGGGCTTATAGAGGAGCAGTCAGGGGTATTATTGTCACAGGCAGCATGATCATTCTCACTGTACTTGTAAAGTGGCTCATCTTGTCTGTTCTCATGAGTCCTAGGCAGTGAGATTTTTTTTTTAACTAAATGTTTATGCATTGTTCCTCTAGACACGGGTAAATATTACAGATTCTGTATGATTTTTTTTTTTTTAATGTACACATCCTGTTTGTGACCTTTAAGAAAGACTATCTGGGAAAGGTATTGATTTCCCAGTCTAAGGCGACTTCCTGAGTCGTCAGTGACCACAGCGAGAGCCAACGCCACAGGCACACACATAGTCATGGCCTGGAGATTACGGCTTATTTTTAGCATAATTTTTTTTTCACTTTATTCCCGTAAGTATCTGAATAGCTAAAATAGAATTTACGTAGACTATGTCCACTTTTAGCCCCTTCTCCCCCATGTTAGTAATTATCTCCTCCTTGTTTACACGGATAAACTTACACTTTTATTAGAAAATAGGAGAGGCCTTCATGTAAACAGGGAGAGGTTGTTCCTCCCATGTCGGAGCCCATGTCTCCAGTATGGTCATCTTTATGGTTCCCTGTCAGGGTTAGCAAAGGCCGCTGGGCACCTGCTCTGTGTGGGGTCCCAGGGTTATGGAAAAGAAACAGTGGATGTGCCCATGGCCCTGGGAGCTTGCCACTGGGGACGGCACTGGTGTGTTGTCTCACTGCCTCGTTCACTGTTTTCATGAGGTGTTACTGAATTGTTGTGTGAATAAAATTCTATTCTTAAATGGAAACTTGACACTAATATTGCCCATCATGCTTGAACAGAAAGCTCGCTTGAAGATCACAGAATTATATGAAAAGCCCATCACCTCCCAGAGTTTCCCTGTGCACCTCGCCCCTCATCTGGGCTGCATGTGCTCACAGGTGCTCCGAGTTTCATGCCTACTCCTGTCTGCAGGGCAGCCCCCTTGACCTCACTCTGTAGTGGAGCTGGGCAAGTTCTGGGGGCAGGGATCTTTGGGTATTGCCCTCATTCTTCCACATGACTGCCAGCATCCCTTTGTCCCAGATGACATGTTTACCCTTTGCTGTCAATTCTTCCGTGCTGAAGTAAAAATGACTAAAATACCTGTAACTTAAAAGATGGCAACTTCCACCCAGATTTCTTCAAGAGGACACATGAGTACCCAGAAACCTTCTAGGATGAACCAGCAAGGCTCCAGTGATGGAGTGCTGGGCAGTGGGCTTGGCACTAAAATCACAGCTCTGAACCTTCCTCTCAGCTTCCAGAGCCAGGACCAGGCGACTGTGCCCTGGACAAATCGGGCTGGTGTGTTTTGTCAGAGAAAGCTCTTTTGTCTGAAGTGCCTGTTCCAGCTGCCACAGGAGGATGACAGGGAAGCCCGAGACACAGGTTTTCTTCGTGGTCTCAGGAAGGAGTGACAGGTTTCCAGGAGTTGGCCCCACACTTTAAATTCCCAGCCATTTACCTTTCTCCAGGAGGATCCTAGACCCTGATCCCAGCACTTTGGGAGGCCAAGGCAGGCAGATCACGAGGTCAGGAGTTCGAGACCACCCTGTCCATCATGGTGAAACCCTGTCTCTACTAACAATACAAAAATTAGCTAGGTGTTGTGGCGTGTGCCTGTAATCCAGGCTACTCAGGAGGCTGAGGCAGGAGAATTGCTTGAACCCGGGAAGTGGAGGTTGCAGTGAGCGGAGATCACATCATTGCACCATTCTAGCCTAGGTGACAGAGCAAGACTCCTGTCACCCCCCTCCCTTTACATTTCCACACATGTAAAGCCAGAGACTGTGGGAAGACCAAGCCTGGGCAGAAAAGAGCATTGTTGTGTTGGTTGTCCTTATTTCACATGGTGAAGCTCATGCTCAGCGTATTTGTTCCTTGTCCCATGAAGGTCTCTGTCGTGTCTCCAGACCATGTGAGCAACAGCACTGTCTCTGCCCGGACCTCGGACAGCAGCCTGGCACCAGTGGCTGACTTCAGTTACCCTCCAGAATCCTCCTCCTGCCTGGACAACTCTGCAGCTAAGCACAAGCTCCAGGTCAAGCCCCGCAACCAGCGGTCGAGTAAAATGAGGCGGCTCTCATCGGTAATTGGGTTTCCTTCTCCACACAGAGGCAGGCCAGTCAGCCTTGGCACCCCCCACCCAACACACCCCCCCAACCTACCTCACTCCCCCGCATAAGGTCTCATATCCCCTCCAAGCACCCTACAGTTGATGGAGCCATGCTGCAGGAGCTGAAGTTTTTCATCCTTTTAAACATAAACCAGATGTGTCTTTCCCTTGCAGAAACACTCCATTCATCCATCCATCCATCCATCCATCCATCCATCCATCCGTCCATCCATCCATCATTACTTACACAGTCACTGTTGAATGCTGGTTGCCTTCCCCCTGCACTCGGTGTGAAGTCCACACTTCAGGCCTGGCATATCAGGTACTGCCTACCCCCCAGGCTTCTTACCCTCTTTCTCAATCAGCACTCTGGCCACCTTTCTGCCTCTTGAGCTCATGAGCTGCTTCTAGCCTCAGGCATTGGTGCTGCTGTGGCCCAGCTTTGGGGCCTGACAGTCCCCCAAAGAAACTCACCCTGCCTGTTCAATTCCTTAGGAGCACTTGCCACATGCCAAAGTGATTTTTGTAAATGGATGTGCTCTTATTGCCAGTCTTCTTTGAGACCCTGTCCTGGCTGTACTTTCAGCCCTTAGAACATTTCTAGTCACAGAGATGTTAAATGGATGAATGATTGAACAAATGAATAAGTGAATTAACAAATGAGTGAATGAAAGAAGCTGAAACACTAGCGTGGACACCTGCCTTGGGCGAGGGCCTACTCAGTAGCATGGGGAGCATGTCTCGGAAGGACAGACCCCTCTTTGGGTGTGCTGCCTTGGGTGTCGTTACCTCCTAGTCCTAGAATCTGAGAAACTGGTTCATGGAATACTTTGGCTTCATTTACCAGCAGGTTCGAAGTTCACATAGGGTTGTTTCCTCTCCCCTACTTCATGGGCACTGTAATGCCTCCCCGCTGGAGTCAGGGCCAGCCTGGCCACAGAGAATGACAGTGCTGAAAAAGAGATGCTCACAGGCTAAGGTCCTCTGTCCTACCCTCACGACATGATTGGGCGGTGTTGGTGAAGTACCCAGGGCAAGCTAGGTACCTCAGCTGGAGACAGTGGGATGGGACCGCTCAGGACTTCAGCGACTCCCTTAAGAGAGTGAGTTTTCCTTTGGGTGTATGGAAGGTGCTCTTTAATCTCATGCCAGCAGAGTAGACTTTTGAGGGGACTAATGTTGGAAGAAGCAGCAAGGTGGGTTACCTTCATGCTGATGTGCCAGCAGGGACCAGGTTACTTGCGTGTATGTGTCTGCATTCAATGCATGTACAGTTATAGGCTGTGTGCTGTGCAGGTGTGACAAGGTCCAGTCACTCGAGACCTGCCTCTCCTCATGCTGAGTGAGACCACAGGGCCAGGGCCTGCCCCCTTTTGGCCCTCAAGTCTGTGATGTATGACTCCCATGGGGATGTCTTTGGCTCTGGCCAGGGCATTTATAACCAGCCACAACCTGGCCAGGACTTGGTGACACAGCAAAGCCTGGTGTTTATTCCAGGTGGAAATGCAGCCTCCCTTCTTGCTCCCATCTGTGCAGGGCTCTATCCCTCTTTCTTTACATTTGAACTTGACTTAGTTCTTGAATCCCACTTTGTAAAATAAAAGAAAACCTGATGCAGCCAGTCTGAGTAAACATGTAAACACAGCCTTTCCTTGATTTAAACTCTGTCGCATCCATGGCTTTTTCCTCTTTTCCCTTCCTTGCTTGGTAAGGTGCAGGCATGAGTATCTTAAGTTCTCAAAGGTGTCCATATTTTCCTTCATCCACTGTTGTGGAAACTATGATGTTGGAGGCCTCTGTCCTTCGGTGTCCACATCACCCTTTGCCCTTTGGTCATGAAGTCCCTCTTCCCAACCGTAAAGACCTTCTTTGTGGCCTGGCCCCTCTCAGGGATCAAGATGCTTTCAGACGCTCCCTAACTGTTCCCAGGATGGGAAAGAACAGCCATGCTGACCCCTGTGCTGCCTTGTGTGGCAGCATGACTCCATGACTGACAGTTTTAAAAGGTGACCCCCATCCTAAAGAGGTTTCAATATCAGCAGTTTCCTGTAGTAGCAGAAGACCATCAACATGGCAAAGTCAAGAACCTGCAGCTTTTGAATTCGTAGCTTTCTTTGTGCCTCTTCCTCTTTTTCAATCCAAAAGAATATGATTGTGCATTTTGTTAAGAGTTTGCTTAGGTATTGTCACAAACATCCCAGGCATCCTGTATTCTATTAGCAAGCAGATGACATGAAAAATGTTAGTAACATTAATAACAACAAACAACAAGAAGAAAAACCTATTGCAAACATATCCCTGAGTGTCTTATTTCCTGCTTTAGAAAAGGGGACAGAGAGAGCAGTAGCCTGGGTGACTCTTGGGGCCTAATATCACGAACTTTCTAAAAAGATGAGCCTCTACACCATCAACCTTTTAGTCATTTTCACATGTTACTTTTGAATGACTCTTGGTTACCTGGAGCTCCTTTCTTTCCCAAGAGAGCAGGAACTGACTTTGTGACAGAAGGAGGAAGTTGGACTGTAATCTGAATTCTTGAGATCTTTTGGAAGAAGAATATCACAAGGCAGGGCATGTTTGCCAAGCCGGCAGGGATTCAGGAGGCCAGAGAAGGGAGGATCTTAAGCTGCAGGGAAGAGTCAAGACTACCTATAGAGGGGGAGAGTTTGAAGCAGTCCTTGGGGGTCCTGGTAGAGCATCCTGGAGGTTGGGGGCAAGGGGTGGGGGCGGTAGTCACTCAGACCAAGTGTCCGGCACAGTGTTGGGGGCTTGGTTTGACCTGAGTAAGGAGTGGACAAATAACTTAAGACCAGAGAATCTAGGACTTTAAATTTAGCTGAAAATTTTGATTTTATCCTATAAGCTGTGGTTAGCTATTGACATGAGTCATCTTTTAGGAAAACCAGTCTGGCTCTGCTATGAGGGCAGATTCCTGAAGTGTTGACATGGGAGACTGGCTGGGAGGAACACAGGGCCATAGAGCCCCAGCTGTTCAGCTGGGCCACCTACTCGCCCAGGCTTGGCCAAGGTATTGGCTTCTCTGGGCTCCTGGCTCTGAAGTGCAAAAAGAGACCTGATCATCTCTTCCTCACTGGGGTGAATGATTAAATGAAATAACAAGTGTGGAACACAGAGCATGGTAGACACTGGCTGCTGTTGTTGGTCGCCTTTCCTTGTTGGTTGCATTACTCTCTAGTCCACTGGTTTTGAGGCTCTGACAGAGGAGTTGCAGGCATTTACTTTGGAGGCATATCTGCCATTTTCCTGATAAACTTGTGAGCCCAAGTAGACCAGCAGGATACACACTGAGAAAAGACACCTGTGGGTATATGCCTACTTAAGTGCCAGCTTTAGAGACATTGCTATCACTAAACCATTATAAGCCTTGAAGAAACCGGGGAGGTGACAGTCTTCCTGGAATTTGCTATAGTGATGGTGCTTTTTATTTCTTTTCTTTTCTTCTTTATATCTCTCAGCGTGCTCAGTCTGAATCCCTGAGCGACCTGACGTGCACCCCTGAGGAGGAGGAAAACGAGGAGAAACCACTGCTGGAAGTCAGCCCAGAAGAGAGCCGCAGTTCTGGGCAGCAGGACGTGGCACGAGACAGAGGCCCTGAGCCTGGGCCACCAGCGCCCTTGCTGCCAACCGGAGGGACCCGTGCCAGACGCGCCCGCCTGCAACACTGCCAGGCGATCAGGGTCAGCGTGGAGGAGGAGGGCACCCCTGGGGAGGACCCCTCAAGTCGCCTGGCCACCCCGGAACTCGCCGAGCCCCAGTCGACCCCCGCTCTCCGAGTGGAGCCCCCGTCCCCGCCAGCGGGCCCCCAGCACCTCCGTCCCGACGGCGGAAAGCAGGAGGAGGGGGCAGCCCCCGCAGGCCCGTGTGCCCCGGCCACAGACACCGCAAAGGAAGTGGTCTGTGCTCCGGAAGACGTCCGGAGCCCCTCTCCCACCGCCATCCCCGAGGGGGACCCGACGCCCCCCGAGACTGTCCCCGCCGCCACCTCGGAGGCGCCCTCTGCTCCAGACGACCGGCCAGACCACAGTGTCCTGCAGGAAGCGGAGCCGACGCCTCCAGTGCCCCCGGACGAGGAGAAGGGGCCCCCGGGGCCACTGCCCGAGCCCGAGAGAGCAGGGGCTGAGCACGAGAGAGCAGGGACCGAGACCGAGAGAACGGGGACCGAACTCGCCAGAGCGGGGACCGAACCCGAGAGAGCGGAGAACGAGCCGGAGAGAGCGGGGACCCAGCCCGAGAGAGCGGGGCCCGAACCCGCCAGAGCGGGGACCGAACCCGAGAGAGCGGAGAACGAGCCGGAGAGAGCGGGGACCCAGCCCGAGAGAGCGGGGACCGAACCCGCCAGAGCGGGGACCGAACCCGAGAGAGCGGAGAACGAGCCGGAGAGAGCGGGGACCCAGCCCGAGAGAGCGGGGACCGAACCCGCCAGAGCGGGGACCGAACCCGAGAGAGCGGAGAACGAGCCGGAGAGAGCGGGGACCGAACCCGCGAGAGCAGGGGCCGAGCCCGAGAGAGCGGGAACCGGGCCGGAGAAAGTAGGGAACGGGCCGGAGAGAGCGGGGACCGAACCCGAGAGAGCCGGGGCCGAGCCCGAGAGAGCTGGGACGGGGCCGGAGAAAGTAGGGAACGGGCCGGAGAGAGCGGGGAACCGGCCCTCGGCGGCGCCCGCCCCGAGCCCCCCAGTGCCCAAGAGCTGCCTGAAGCACCGGCCCGCGGCGGCCGTCGAGGGCCCTGCCGTATCCCCGCCGCCTGCCGCCACGAAGTCGCCCCGGGGGGAGCCCGGTCCCTCTTCCCCCGACGCGGAGGCCGCAGCCCCGGGGCGCCCCGAGGCCGAGCGCGCCGAGGCTCCACCCGCGGGCGCCGAGAGGGCGGCGCCGGAGCGGAAGACCGAGAGGGGCGGCGCCGAGCTGCGGGGCGCGAAGAAGTTCTCGGTGTCCTCGTGCCGGGCGCGGCCTCGTCCCGGCGCCTCCCGCCCGCTGGAACGCGCCGGCGGCCGCCTGCCCCTCTCCAGCAGCCGCCCAGCCTGGAGGAGCGAGGCTGCCCTCGACGACCTCCAGGGGCTCCCCGAGCCCCAGCTCGCGAAAGCCGGCCCTCGGAAGCCGGCGGAGGGCGGCGCTCAGGACTCGGGCGACAGGGCGGCCACCCCGGCCGGGCCTCGCAGGAGCCCCCAGGAGGCGGCCGCTTCGCCCGGGACGAGAGAGCCGTGCCCAGCGGCCCAGGAGCCGGCTCCGAGCGAGGACAGAAACCCCTTCCCCGTCAAGCTTCGGTCCACCTCCCTCTCGCTCAAATACAGGGATGGCGCCTCCCAGGAGGCGAAGGGTGTGAAGAGGTCCAGTGCCGAGGTCCGGTTAGAAAGGTCGCTCACCGTGCTCCCGAGGGAGGAGAAGTGTCCTCCTGGGACGGCCTCCGCCCTTCGAGGCGCCAGGGCCCCCAGCGACCAAGGAAAGGGGAAGGCCCGGCCCCCCGAGCCGCTCAGTTCCAAGCCGCCACTGCCCCGGAAGCCGCTTCTGCAGAGCTACACGCTCCCGCCCGCGCCCGCGCCCCCCGACACCAGCCCAGGAGAGCGGGACCCCAGAAAGGAGCCCAGGACGGCGGAGAAAAGGCCGCTGCGCAGGGGAGCTGGTAAGAGCCCGCCGAGGCTGTGGGAAGGGCAAGGCCTGGGGAGAGCCACATCTCCTGGCACATCTTGCTGGTTGCCCGCCAACTTTGTTGCAGGAGAATTAGAAGGAATCAGAATTCCCACTAACGTCATGTCTGATCTAGAGTAAGCTTGTCTAGTCCGCGGCCTGGGCCCAGGGCGGTTTTGAAGGTGGCCCGACACAAATTCGTAAACTTTCTTAAAACATTATGAAAATTTGCGATTTTTTTTTAAGCTCATCATCAGCTATCCTTAGTGTTAGTGTATTCTATGTATGGCCCAAGACAATTCTTCCAGTGTAGCCCAGGGAAGCCAAAAGATTGGACGCCCCTGATCTAGAGTAAGGAATAGGCCTACCTCGGTAGCTCACCCCTGTAATCCCAGCGCTTTGGGAGGCCATGACCTGCGGTTAAGCCCAAGAGTTCAACAACCTGGGCAACATAGCAAGACCTCGTTCTACAAAACATTTAAAAACTAGCCAGATGTGGTGGTGCATGCCTGGGGGCATGAACCTCAGCTACTTGGGAGGCTGAGATAGGAGGATTGCTAGAGCCCAGGAGTTCAAGGCTGCACAGTGAGATATGATGGTACCACTGCACTTCAGCCTGGGTGACAGAGTGAGACTCTGTTTTAAAAAGAGAGAGAGAAAATAAGGAATAAAGAGTAGAAAAGGGAAAACAAATGCCAGGATTTTGTGTAAGTACAGAGAAGTGTGTAGGCTTGAGACAAAAAAATGTAGAAACTGATTTTGATAGGACTCTTAGCAAATCCCTCAAATTCTTCTCCCACTTTTCACCTGAGAAACTCAGCAAAGTCCCAGTCCCAGGACATGTGTACTCATTTTGATGCAGGTTCTTTCAGGGCCTAAGCTATTTCTTGGCTATAAAGGAAACATCTTACTCCTCATCAGACTCCTTCTGACCTTTTATTCCAAGAAAGAATTTCCTCCCACTTCACAATCAGGTTCACATGGCCCAGCTGCATGTGGAAAGCATTCTGTATATTGGAATCACAAGTCTGTGTAAAATGTAAGTCTCAAGAGGGTCAGCATTTACTCCCTGTCCTCAAGGAGAGATTGTGTTAAGACTGAGGCTGAATGTAAGAGCCTTTGAAAGCGGCTGTCTTTTGAAATGAGCAGAGACAAAGTAGATGACCTTTCTCTGCCTTTGACATTTCTCACTTCTTACAGTGTTTCAGATGAAATGAGAAGTCTGTTGAAAATGGGTATTTGCAGCGGAGCTAAAGAATCTTTCATTGGTGGGTTTGTTTGTTGGTTTGTTTGTTTTTGAGACGGAGTCTCACTCTGTTGCCCAGGCTGGGGTGCAGTGGTATGACCTTGGCTCACTGCAACCTACGCCTCCTGGGTTCAAGCAATTCTCTTGTCTCAGCCTTGCAAGTAGCTGGGATTATAGGCGTGCACCCGACTAATTTTTTTACGTTTTTGGTAGAGACGAGGTTTCACCATGTTGCAGGCTGGTCTCGAACTCCTGACCTCAAGTGATCTGCCTGCCTCAGCCTCCCAAAGTGCTGGGATTACAGGTGTGAGCCACTGCACCTGGCCTGCTGGTTTTTTTAATAAATGGAAATCTGTGAGCCAGAAAATGAAACTACACAAATAAGTTGTGTGTACATGTGATGAGGGCCCTAGAGAGAAGTTTTCCGTGGCAAATTTTGTTTTTAAAAATGTTTTGGCCAGACACGGAGACCAAAGTCACACCTGTAATCCCAGCATTTTGGGAAGCTAAGGCAAGTGGATCACAAAGTCAGGAGTTTGAGACCAGCCTAACAACATGGTAAAACCCTGTCACTACTAAAACTACAAAAATTAGCCGGGCATGGTGATGTATGCCTGTAATCCCAACTATTCAGGAGGCTGAGGCAGGAGAATTGCTTGAACCTGGGAGGTGGAGGTTGTGGTGAGCCGAGATCACTGCATTCCAGCCTAGGCAACAGAGCGAGACTCCATCTTAAAAAAAAAAAAAAAAAAAAAAAAAAAAGTTTCAGGCTATTTTAGAGGCTACTCAAAATCCCAAGGTTCCATTCAAGCACTGCATTATAGGACAGAGAGGAAATCGAACTTGATGGCTCTCTTGGGGAATCCTGCATCCTAAGAGGAAAATGCACACATAGGAGGAAAGATTAGCTCATACAAAACCATGTAAAAGCAGTTCTAAAATAGTCTAATCTTTTCTGGCTCTTTTACAGTGCTTTAAACTCCTAAGGTGACACGCAGGGATTCACAGTTCCAAAGAGCCCACACATCATGGCCCTTCCCAATCTCAGGCCCCTTGGCACAGCTGTGATTTTGTGTTGCTGTTGCCACTGCAGTAGGATAATCAGAGCAGGAATTTGGAGGAAGTTCAAGCTATAGTTGATGATCCACTCTGCAGATTTCCACTGAGGTTATTGAAGCTACTGTAGAGTGATTCAAAAGCCACTGAAGTAGCAAGGGAGGGACGAGTTGCTCTCTATGCACATGAAACCCTGACCTTCATGGCCTAGAATTGAAAATGTCTCTCAAGGGCTTCCTGAATGAATGGAACTTAAAAACAGAATATCAAGCTCATAGTCAGATCTGGAAAGGAAGCATCAGCGGGCAATGCCTGGCCCACTATTTATGTCTAAGTTCCTCAATCTAAGCCAGGCTTTCTTCACTGTAAAATGCCTGGGATGGTCCGTAAAGACCTTGTGTATTTTTCTTTGATTTATAAAATGTAATAGAGTATTTGTTTATTAGCAGCTTTGCTTATATAGTAGAAGAGAATTGTCTCGTCCAAGTTTAATCACATTCTCTAAAGCCATAGAAATAACAGAGTTAGATGAATTATGAAATGAAAGAAGAATCTAGGTTCCTTTATGGGTATGGGTAATGATTTTCATTTTAATGTAAAGAGAGGCGGGAAGGAATTACCTGCATTCTATAGGGAAGCAACTCTGGGGGCAGGGGCAGTGCTACTGGAAGGACTAGATAGCAGGACAGGCTGGGCCTGCTGCCTGATCCTACCTGGACCTTGAGGGGCTGTCTCATGCTGACCAGAGCAGAATCTCAGGTTCTGCACTGTCAGACCCTAGCAGAGAGGCTGCCCCCATGCCTTCCCCAGATGCTGAATCTGTTTGTGCTTTCTTTCATTATTATCACATCTATTATCATTCTTATTGCTCCCAAATTATATTAGCTGGAAGCAGTTCAGTTCATATAAATCTTACGGATAAGAAAAGTTTTAATAACAGTATTACTCTGTTTCCAGAAAGACCTAATAATTGCTATTGTGGTATCAAATATCTTGCCCAACGCTCCCAGATAGGCTTCTGCCTCCCCTGTCCTCCCGCTAGGGTAATGTACTGCTAAAGTTGGATGATGGAAGTGTTCCCGATGACTTTGCTTCGGGGACTCAAGCTGCTTTGTCCCCAGCACTTGGTTTATTCTTCTTCCTCTCTTCCACACTTTGTGTTCCTTCCTTGAAGGAATGGAGTAAGCTTCAGCAGAAGGAATAGGGAAGGATGCGGTGCTGGTTGGTCATAATAAACAGAGGGGCCTGGCTTGCCAAAGGGGCTGAGCCTCACAGGGGCTATGCTGGAGTGATTACTGCAAGCTTAGTACATGTCTGTGCTCCTTGAGGCAGAGGAGACCTGTTTATAGGCCTGGTTCGTAATTTGCTGATCTGTCCTAGGAAATAAATGGCCCCGGGTTATCAGCCTTGTTCATTTGTGCAGAACATTATGCATCCTCCCATTGGTTCAATTCATCCCAGAGTCTAAATTACAGGTCATAAAGCAGCTTCTGCACACAGGATTAGAATGAGAACAAAGGAGTTAAAGAATATTGTGTGGAAAAATTGCAAAACACAGAAAGTATGTAGAAAAAAAAATCACTCCTAAGTCTACCTTCCTTCTAGTCTGTCTTGTTTCTGGGTATGAGATTTATTTTTTCACAAAGTCGTGGTCACATATGGGTGTTTTGGGAGGTAGAGCAAGAAACCACCCTTCTCACCTGGGACCTCATTTGATAACCAGCATTGGCTTCTAATCTGAGCTGGATTCCTCCAGACAGGGTTGGTGACACATTCCAGTCTCTGACCTTCTTTTTCTAGACTCCAGTACTCACTCATCTGTGCATTCTTTTTTTGAACAAATATTTAGTGTCCTCCTGCCATACAAGCTCTGTGTTGGCCCCAAAAGATGGGAAAAGTATAGGGGCCTGACCCTTGGAGTTTATCGCATGGAGGAGGCTGGTGTTAGCTGGATGCTGGGGGAATGCAGACAGCCATTTTCTAGCCTACCTTGTCTTTGGATGTCACAGCCATTTTCTGAAGGAAATGGACTGAAAGAGACTGTCACCCTTTTTCAATAACACAGTTCAGATATATTCAAATTCATCCGGGTTAGAATACAAGCTATGGGGGTTTTTTTGATACCAAACTAATAATATATTCCTATCTCTTGAATTTTTAAATTTTCATTTTATTGTGATAAGAACATATAACATGAGATTGATCCTCTTAACAAATTTTAAAATGTACAATACAGTATTGTTGTCTGTAGGTACAATGTTGTAGAGCAGATTTCTAGAACGTACTCTCCTTACATAACTGAAACTTTATAAACATTGATGAGTAGCCTCCAATTTCCTTCTATAGAAGCTATAAAAATAGAAATTTTAGAACTGGAAAAGCTGGAGTGGCTATATTATCACACAAAGAAAACTTCAGAAAAAAACCAATTATTAGTGATAAAATGGAACATTATATAATGATAATTTCAGTAATATTGGTGAATCAAGAATGCATAACAGTACCTAATGTGTATGTCCCTAACAACAGAGCTTCAAAATACATGAAGCAAAAACTTGGCAGTACTGAAAGGAAAAATAAATAAATCCAAAGTAAAATGTAGAGATGTTAGCACTCCTCTGGCAGTAGTCAAGAAAAGTAGCAGGTAGAGGCCAGGTGTGGTGGCTCACGCCTATAATCCCAGGACTTTGGGA